TTTTCTGTCATTCATAGGTATCATCTGAGACTTGGGTATTAGGACTTTTCAGGTATCTTGCCCAGGTAGCAGCTTAATTGCTGCTTGAACTTACTATTGCCCATGTGTAATGAATGCTTAATCTCATGGTGTTACTGACCAGCAGAGGGCACTGTGGCACTTTACTCATGGCAGCAATCAATGCTTAACCTGGATTCTTGTAAGGTGCTGGCACTGGGCTGTAATGACAGTTATTTAGTTGGAGATTTCAGGCTGTTAATTACAGTTCAGGCTTCTCAGTGTAGGGTATCTTGCTGTATCCATGGCTCAACTCGAAACTCACTATTATTTAAGTACACCTATCTCATGCCAGCCAACCACTCTAACTCAAAGTGGGATTGTAAGGTTGCTTTGCTGTCAACCTGATATGAGCTTTCTCCCCTCTAGATGCGTCTGCTTCCTCTGCGCCAGAAGAAGGCACACTTGATGGAGATCCAGCTAAATGGGGGCACTGTGGCTGAGAAGCTGGACTGGGCCCGAGAGAGGCTGGAGCAGCAGGTTCCTGTGAACCAGGTGTTTGGTCAGGATGAGATGATTGATGTCATTGGAGTGACAAAAGGCAAAGGCTACAAAGGTAAGCTTTGGTAGTAGGTTGTGGTTCTGTGGGTGGTACATGGGGGTTGACCTAGCTATTCTATGATGAGACTCTGGAATGTGCTGTACACAGCACCCGAGTAACACTGTGGAAGCATTCCCTGTTGCCTTCCTTCTGAGAATAGCATCCCTTGTCTAGGTTCTAGGGAATGGGATGACAGTTGACTTTAACTTGTGAACACTAAATGTTAAACTGCCTTAAAATCAAAGACATGGCAACCTCTGGCCTTAAGCTCTGTGTGTGTGTAATATGCAGACATTGATGCTGCAGATAAAATCAGATGAGGAATGTGATCTGATCTTTACTCACCTTTTGGCAGATAGTAATTTTTTTTTCCCTAAAAGTACCTCAGATAAAACCAATTGGGCACTCACAGGGAGGGACAGAGTTGTGTGCCCCGGTCCCTTCTAACAATGACATGTTCACTTTAGGGGTGACGAGTCGTTGGCATACAAAGAAACTGCCCCGCAAGACCCATCGAGGGTTGCGCAAGGTTGCCTGTATTGGTGCTTGGCACCCTGCCCGAGTGGCCTTCTCTGTGGCTCGGGCTGGGCAGAAAGGCTACCATCATCGGACAGAAATCAACAAGAAGGTGAGATGTGACAAGGCTGGCTGGGATCCATCCTGCAGGTGGGGCAGTCGGGTGGAACCCACAGCCCCAACCCTTTCCTGGGCAGGGAGTTTTGTTTGAATTTTTTGAGAAAGTTTCTCTAGCTTTGGAGCCTGTCCTGGCATTTGCTCTGTAGACCAGCCTGGCCTTGAACTCAGATCAACCTGGCTCCAGGGGGATTTTTTTAAAAGATTCATTTTATAAGCAATGTTCCTGCTTGCCCTTGGAGGTTGTGACAGACCTCAGGATTATTGGAATGAGCAGCCGTTGTGCCTAGCATTAGTTTTAAGCTCATGTAGCTAATTGAAGAGCACTTTGACCTTTGGAGAATACACATTTGTGTACTGTCCTATCTACCTGGAAACCTGTGGACTTCCTGCTTTCAGAGTCTGGGTACTAGGCTAGTTGCTAGCACCTCAGTGTTATTGACCTGGTTCCTAGGACTGCTTTCTCAGTTGTTAATGGTATTTTCAGATTTACAAGATTGGTCAGGGCTACCTTATCAAGGATGGCAAGCTGATCAAGAACAATGCATCTACCGACTATGACCTTTCTGACAAGAGCATCAACCCACTGGTGAGTGCTGACACTTAGATGCTTCTGTGGGGTGGCACTTGGCTTTTGTGATCCTTGTAGTTCCTACTGGGGTGGGGATCCATCATAGCTGTTCTGTGATGAGGCTCTGGAATATGCGCTGGGCACAGCGCCCGAGTGAAACTGAGGAACCATTCCCTGTTGCCTTCCTTCTGAGAACAGCTTTGCTGATCATGGTTGGCAGTGTCTAACTGGCTTCTTAATTGCACTGACCAGTAACTTTTTATGATTCCCTAGGGTGGCTTTGTCCATTATGGTGAGGTAACCAATGACTTCATCATGCTCAAAGGCTGTGTGGTGGGAACCAAGAAGCGAGTGCTCACACTCCGCAAGGTAAAACCCAGGGTCCTTTGCTGTGGAAATACTGGCCTGTTGTAGGAGTGGAATCTGACCCCACATAGCAGTTTGCATGAGTTCTGCATATTGTGCTACTGAACTGGCTCTGGGTATCAGTCACTAACCTATTTTTTTGTGTGTGCCACAGTCCTTGCTGGTGCAGACCAAACGGCGGGCTCTGGAGAAGATTGACCTGAAATTCATTGACACCACCTCCAAGTTTGGCCACGGTCGTTTCCAGACCATGGAGGAGAAGAAAGCATTCATGGTAAGGACCTTCGTGTCCCAGTTTTGTCTTGACTATTTTGCCCACATGGCTGTGTTTAGGATGTAGACTGACAAACTCCTGTTTCTCTCACAGGGACCACTCAAGAAAGACCGCATTGCCAAGGAAGAAGGTGCTTAATGCCAGAATTTGCTTGACTGGTGTGGTTGGTCTCAATAAAAACTTTTTCAGTGAAATTGGCTCCTCAATTTTTCTCTAGGGCAATAATAGCCAACCATTAATGGAGGGGGGAAGTTGAATACTTCACAGGTTTGATGTCCATTGCCTACAGGAAGCATAGTGAGTCACTGGAGGACTGTATGTCCTTCCTATCTGATACATGCAGCTTCTGACTCTGGAAGCTGTTTGCAGAGTTTGCTTGACACAGGGGTTGTGACAAGGGGAGGTAGGACTTGATGTTGTGGTCTACATGGTAGCTTTCAGTTAGAGCTTGCCTCAAATACAAAGGTTTTCTGGTAGTGACAATGTGTCAGCTGCTCTGCTCAAGCAAATAGGACAGGACTGCTAGAACAGCTCCAAGGCCCTGGTTTAAGGTTACCCTTGGACTGCTCAAATACTATGTGTGTGGGTGTCAGCCCACAACTCAATATAAACCAGGAGGTCCTTGAAGTTGTGGTTCAGTGGTCACTTGATGTTTGATCCTGTACTTAAGCCCTGAGCCACCAGGGGGTGGGTATAGTACATGGCAAACAGCTAAGCTCTGCTGTGGTATCTATCCAGTTGGCCCAGGCACAGCCCAGTGAGAACTCTGATTTCATGTTGTGGACTGCTTTTAGGACCTTATTAGACCTGTAGGAGGCACTACAGGACATCCAGACCTTATTCCCTAGTTATGGCCAAGATGGTCTGGGGAACAAAATTTGTCTAGGTAAGTGATGGAAGCCTATGCTTGGGGAAAGTAATACAGGTAAGGTAACCTTAGGAGATGTAAATGTCCTAGAATTTTTCATGTAGTCCAGGGTACCCTGGGCCACCCTGCCTCAAACCTGTAGTTCTGCTTTATCTGTATGTTTAGCATGTATTTATATACCACATGCATCCTGGTGCCTACAGAGCCAGAAGAGGACAGAATTGGGGTTAAGGATGGCCATAAGCACCCATGTGGGTTCTGGGACCTGAACTCTGGTCCTCAGCTCCAGCTCCTGAGGCCTTTGAAAGTTGGTCCTCACCCAAGATAGGTAGCTCCATAACACGAGGCATGGAATACCGGTTGTTGAAAAGGGGCACAGAGGGCTGTAGTTTTGCTTTCTTGATATTTGGGCAGCATGGACACCCACCCCAAGCCTCTACCCCCAGGCATGGCCTCTGGAGCCAGAGTTGACTCCCAGCACCATTGCAAGGACTTCTCGGGAACTTAACCTCATGGAGGCAGATGAGAAATGTAGACAAAACCGAGAAATGATTAACAAAGAACAAGCCAGTGGCAGGGCCTTTCAGTCTGCACCAAGTGTGGCAGAGGCTCTAGGACAGACCTCGGACTCCTGGTCCCAGCTCCTGAGGGAGCAGAGCCATAAGAGCAACCTGTTTTGGCCAGGTTACCTGCAGATTCATCTAGCCTCTTCTAGGACAGAGCTTGGCACACAGTAAGTGCTCAATAAACCTTGGAGTGTTGTATCTGTACCTGGGTGGGAGTCACCAGCATTTGCTTGTTGGGATGCATTGCCTCTCCCAACCATTCTCCATGTGCATCATACAGTTCCCATGCCTGTGTCTTGTTCCTGTCACACTTTCCTCTCACAATAATTCCAAGACAGGTCTCACCGGAATCCTGTGGTGGCAAAACAAGGATTTGCATTCCAATCCCGAAAAAAAATCTGCTGGGAATTTCTGAGCAAGTGGGAACAGGGAGGTAGTGGCAAGAACCACCATTGCCTTAAAAGGTATGACAAAGCCAGAGTCATTACAAGTTACTAGGGATAGCCAACTGGGTGCCACCTCCAGGGCTCACCTATAAGTGTTCTAGCCTAGACCCTGGTGACAGTCTTGCTGGGGGAATGGGTCCCCAGGCTATCCCCAGTAATAGAGGCAGCCTCATATCTGCCAGTTCTCAGTATGCAGGTTCTTGTCTGAGACTCTCATACCCCCTAGCTGCCCTGCCCTCTTTCTAAAGACCCTCCTGCCTATCTACATCAGGCCTGCTCCTTGGTCTGGCCCCTGGCCAGCTCCCAAAGCTTGGTAGGTAGCTCCTTTTCCCCTGGCTGTCCTGAAACTCACTCTATAGATCAGTTGGCCTCGAACTTACAGATCTGCCTGTCTCTGCGACAGCCACCAACACCTGGCTCAGTTCTGAGCCTTTAGGGCCACTCCTTGAAATGGGTTCTGTTACTACCCCATGGTGCAGATGCAAAGCTGAGGTCAAGAGAATAAGTAGCATGATTATTTAGGGGTAGCACTGCTGGGACTAAGTCAGACATGAAGAGGATCCAAGTCTCTTAGCCGAGTTAGGGTGCTGAGAGGAGCCGGAAGTCTGGTGAGCACTTACTGGGCATCACACCTGCTGGCTCAAGGGTCACCTGCAATCCCGACAGCTGTTGTTCCCATTCCACAGATGGAGAAGTGAGGTCACAGCTGCTTCTGAGCATCTTCGGGTCACACACACTTCACTAGGACAGCTCACAGAAGGAAACTGAGGCAGGATGAGACTAACCATCCCTTGGTGAGACTTCCAAGAGTGGAGGAGCCAGAAGCAGATGCTGCCTCAGGAAGCTAAGGTCTTGACTGTGTCCACTGCCTCCAACAAGCAGGGCCACCGAGGCTCCATAAGGAATGGAGGGACGTGATCCCCAGAGCCACTGCAGCCCCTCTCCAAGCTCATCCATGGGCTCTGCTTCCTTCACACAGGGGTGACACGGTGCTTACTCCTGACAGTAGGCATAGAGGAGTCAGCTACCACACTAGGTCCCTGGGTGGCCACTGGCTTCATGTGACTATGGAGAAGTGACCCTGCCTCCATCTCCCCACTTTAGCTCTGCTCAGTCTGGCCGAGTCAAAGACTGAGGGAAGGCGCTAAAGATAGTTGAAGCAGCCACTTCCCCATCCCTGAGGCCACCACCCAGTCGCCAGTTGGCCCTTCCAGCAAGCTGCCTGGCCAGTGCCCAGCCTGGGGCATAGCACAGGGTACTGGGTGACAGTGGCTGACCTGTGCTTCTGCAGAAGCTACCCTGTCATTTCACAGATGACAGTCCAAGCAGAGGGACAGCAGTCCCCATGCTCACACCATGTGCCCCTTGATGCTCATACCATCCACCTTTCTCGATTAAGGCTGGTTAACCAACCAAGCCAGTCACCCATTCAGCCATGGTAGATCTGGTCCCTTCTGCCAGAGAGCTACCATCTCCCAGCTCACCACTGCTGACCTTGGCCTTTGGGTCTTACAGGATCCTCAACGGCCCAAGCCAACTGACAGTGCAAAGCAGTTTGGACAGGTTCTTTCTTTCTTTCTTTCTTTCTTTCTTTCTTTCTTTCTTTCTTTCTTTTTCTTTTCTTATTTATTTATTGAAACAGGGTTTCTTTTTTTTTTTACCCCCCCCCTTTTTTTTTTTGGTTTTTCGAGACAGGGTTTCTCTGTGGTTTTGGAGCCTGTCCTGGAACTAGCTCTTCTAGACCAGGCTGGCCTCGAACTCACAGAGATCCGCCTGCCTCTGCCTCCCGAGTGCTGGGATTAAAGGCGTGCGCCACCACCGCCTGGCTCCGTGAACTCTTTGTGTAGCTAAGGATGACAGAACTGATCCTCCAGCACAAGTAAGAACCAACCACTGCAAGTTGTCCTCTGACCTCCCTAAGTACACTGTGCCCCTCCTACCTCAAACGCACTCGCACACACAGTAATAATAATAACAACAACGACAATCTGACAACAGGCAGAAAGTGAGGGATGGAAACTAGGAGTCACCACCTCCCTGCCTGGATCTAGGTTCTCCGTCCCACGCAGGGCCCTCTTCTCAAACCAGGATGAGCTGGGTGGAGAAGGCTCTTCCTGTTAGAATACACTTGGATTTGTCTCATACAGTCCTGTTTACTCTAAATATCTGGGGAAGCAGGTGCTAAAGGGACCCCCGTTCATAGCAGAGAGCCAGGCTTGAGCGAGTACCGTCTCCCCTGGGGAGAGAAGCAGGTGGTCCAAGCCCTAGAGAGTCCCTCACATGGACACATCCCCTTTCCACAGGCAGGAGGCTCGCCCTGCCGCCGCCACAGTGCCCCCTCCCTGAAGCCTGCTCTCTAGGCTCCATCACCCTGTGCTCCACCGGTGTCCGTGTCACCATGTTTGCTGCTGTTGGCCCTGGGTCCCAGCCACACACCCCCTCCTGTTCTGCCCTGTTCTTTTTTTTTTAAATATTTATTTATTTATTTACTTATTTATTTATTTATTTATTTATTTATTTATT